TTAGGGGTGCAATGGAGGCTGTTGGCGTGTGTCACTGGGCTGCTCGAGGGCTTCTGGGAGGCCCTAGGTGGATGCTCTGGGGAGCCTTTTGTTGGCTCCTGGTGGGCTCGTCTGGCTCGCTGGTAGCTTTGTGGAAGAGCTTCTGGGATGGAGATGGGGGTCTCTTGGGATGTCTTTCAGGGGCCTCATCTTAGAAGGCTTTTGGGGGCATGTGGTTTGCTTTTTGGAGCCTCTTGGGGGGCCTTTGGGGAGCCTCTTGGGGCCTCTTGGGGGCCTCTTGGAGGCGCGTCTGGGGTCTCTGGGTGGCTTTTGGGCTTATGACGGGGGGACAAGCTCGAGATGCCAGTTCAGGTTGCCTTTCTTGGGCCTTCCTCGGGGCCCTCGTGTCTTGAGGCTAACTTTGGGGCCGCCTTCGGACCCTCTCTGACCTTTTGAGGGCTTTATGGGCCGTCTTGGGACGAGCTTGTGGGCACCTTGTGCTGTATTGGACGCTGTCAAGACGAACATGTCGAACATGTGCGCTTTTCGGAGGGAATGGAGTGATTCTTATGTCTTGTGGTTCTTTCGGTAGTCCTCTGGGGACACTCTTGGGCCGTCTTGAAGGCCCCGTGAGTTGTCTTGAAGCAATCCTGGACCGTCGTGGGGTTACCCTGGGCAGTCTCGACGCTCTCTTGGACTGTTTCTTCGCTCTGCTTGGACCCTGTTGGGCCGTTTTGGAGCTCCAGAGAGCCTCCTGGGTGCGTTGACGAGTTTGTGCAGTCGGACCGAGGTACAAGACCGAGGTCTTTTCGGGGAGGGTGCCCTGTAATGTTCCTCGTGCTTGTTGGATGTTCTTGCGAATCCTGGGGAGGGTGCCTCTGGATGTTCTGTGCGTCTTGGCCGACGGAGGCTCTCCAGTTCTTGAGGGGTGTTCCTCTGGCCCAGGTGCGGCTGTAGGGCACACGGCCGTGTCCTCGCCCCTGTCGGAGTGAGCGGCTTTTTACTAACTCACCTCCCAACTCCTCGACCCGCCTCTTCACCTGGGCTGCTGCTCTCTGGGTGCCTAGCTGGGGTGGTGGGGCAGGTGCACAAAGCGCATTAAAAAAACATCACGACCGGGGCCCCAGACCTGACATATCTTCCTGTGGCACTTGCCGGGCCAAATCTGCGAGGGCCCCGGGGACCCCGAAGCAGGGCGAGATCGCCGGGCGTGAAAAACATGCGATGCCAGGATCTCAGGGGCCTGGGTTCGGCGACTTGGATCCGTCACGTGATGCGAATCGGAGGAGATGGAGGAGGAGGAGGAGGGGGAGGAGGAGGAGGGGGAGGAGGAGGAGGAGGAGGAGGAGGAGGAGGAGGAGGAGGAGGAGGTAAAGAGGAGGAAGAGGAGGGGGATTTCGTGAGGAGGGGGGAACTCTTCGCATCACGTGGCGAAGTCACTCTGCCCATGCGTGGCGGGGCAGGGCCGGGGCGCTCCGCGTGCTCCCCGCGTCCGGCGCTTCCTGGTCGACGCCCCCGCGTGCCCCCCGAGCGCGGCCGTGCAGCTGTTCAACGTCGAGGCGGAGGTGGGCGTGGTGATGGGCTCGGACCTGCCCGCCCGCGGCGACGGGGAGCCGCACAGCCAGGATCCCGCCCCAGAGTCAAATCGGGCCTGTCCCCTTACAGGGGGATTTTCGACGAAAAATAGAAAATGCCACCAAAATTATCCAAAAATTAGTCCAAAAACAGTCTGGGGTGTATTTTTGGAGTATGTTTTGACCTTTTTGGGGCATTTTCGGGGTATTTTTTGTTTTTCGTCGAACATCCCGCTGCAGGGGGACACGCCCGACATAATTCCAGAGATCCGGAGTCCGAGGGGACGGGCCCGGAGGACTGCGCTGCATCGGCGATGCATCGCCAGTGCGGCTCGATGCGGAGCCTGACTGTCTCCACGCCGAGGCGTCGCCGATGCATCGCCGACGTCGCTGATGTATGGCCGATGCCTCGGTGATGCATCGACGATGCGGCGCGATCCGACCCCATCTACAGCGGAGGCCCATGCCGAGAACCACCCTGCTTGCTTCCAGGGTGCCCTGGGTTTCTTGGGTTCCGATGGTTTTGCGATGGAAAGCGTGACGTTCCCGCACCAAAAACCAACGGACGTCCTGGGGTCTCAGGGTTGGGTTTCTTGTGGAAGGTTTCTTGTGGTCGGGCCCCCACCGTAATCAGACCCCATCTGGGATGCCTCTCCAGACAGCCGGACACCTGCACACCCTCGCGTCGTGAGCAAGCGCCACGACGGGAGCTCCCTCTTGCTTGTTTCTGCTCTTGACCTCTGTGGGCCCTCGCCGGGTCTCGGGGCCGTCGAACATCGACTTAGGATGAAGAGCCGGTCGTCCGGGGAGTGGGTCGAGACCTCGGAGGGTTATTTCTTGGGTCCGCGCTGGCCCCCCCTGGGCGGCGCCTCCGGCGCCGCCCCTGGCGCGCTCCGCGCGCCAGGGAGGGGGGTCCAAGCGCCTCATCGCCCTGGAGCGCTGGCGAGCCCCCAGGGCGCGCTGTGCACAGCACCTGTGCCACGGTGTCCCAGAGTTCCGACGACATATTTTTCAACCTGGGCAACTTTCGTAGATATTTCGGCCTCCAGGGCCCGGCATTGGGCCAAGGGCGCCTCAGATATGGACCTGGGCCGAGGCACTACCCCCCGCCCGGGAAGGCGTCGGGACCCCCTGCGGCCGCGCGTTGAACAACTCTCATCGTTGGGTGCCTGGGTGCCCGGCACGTCAAGTGTTGCCAGCGGGACCTGCGGAAGCACCCCGCCTGGCCTTGGGAGGCCGGCCAGCGCCCCATCGGGGATGCGGGATCGTCACCTCGATGCGGGGAGGATGCGACGAACGGGCAGCACACACCCACACCCATAGAGGGGTCGGCGGGAGGAGGGCTTGCTATGGGTATGGGTGCGGGCGGTCGGACCGCGGGGGGGGGCTCCCGCTCGAGCGGGGGCCCCCACCCGGCAACACGCACCCATGGCCCCCTCCGCCCTCCCTGTGGGTGTGGGTGCGTGTGGTGCGTTCGTCAGGCTGTGGGATCCTCACCTCGACGCGGTCAGCGCGCGCCTCGAACCGAGGAGGCGCATCCGAGGCGGGAGTTCATCCACACCCACCGCCTGGGGCATCGATCTCCACGGACCTCCACAGGCGGTGGAGATGGATTTATTCTGGCCCCCGGGGGCCAACACGTATCCATCTCCACCGCCCGCTGGGGCACCAGGACGTCAGTGCCCAGGCGGTATCCCCGCCTCACAACGCAGACGTGGGTAGAAGGCGCGTGCATTGGCGACGCGTCCTTCTCCATACGACATCGGCGCGCTCCGTCGTCACATCATGCGGCGCTGGCCGCATGCTTCGGTGGGTAAGCTTCCCCCGGTCCGTGGATCCGGCGCCCACGCGGCGCCCACGCGCCAGATCCGCGGATCCCCCCAGTCCCTGCCGGCGTGCGCCCGACGCCTGGGAGGCGGCCAGCCGGGGCCGCCCCCGGTCCGCTTCGGTGCGGTTCGAGGCACCGGCGGGGGCCGCGATTTCGTTTTCGATGCGCCTCGGTTCGAGTCGCCGACCTCGGCGATCCGACGTCGATTCGACTCGGAGCGATTCTCGCTGGCGATCCTGTGTGTGGCCGATCCGATCCGATGTCGCGGTTCGATTCAGCTCAGGCCTGCCAGCGTCCCATTGGGGGGGCGGGGGATCATCATCTCAATGCGGTTGATACCAGCCTTGGAGGGTGAGACACTTAGGCGAGGGCCCCTTTCGGCCGGGGCTCCAGAACGCTTTGAGGAGGCCGCGGCGCCCGAGGCATCCTCCAGAGCTACAATCAATGACGCCGTTTCTGCACGACGCATCGGCTGCAGAAGTGCCGTCGGTTGGAGGCGTATGTCTTCAGAGCCACAGGATCTCAGAGATATCCTCGATGTATCCTCACCCGATTTCGTCCTCGTCCTGGCTTCGTCTTACCCTTGGATCTAGACTTGTCCCTCTACAGGAGGAAAATTCAAAAATAGTGCAACACAGTCTTGGGACGATTTTTGGAGTATTTTTTTGGGCCATGTTGGAGTGTTTTTGGGGTATTCTTAATTGTTCGTCCGAAGTCCCCGTATGGGGGACACGCCCGACCTACTCCCAGGCATGCCTGCCACGATTCCGGCGCCCTCGGCCTGGAGGTGGGGCCCTTGCTCGGCGCGCGCAGGGCGCCCTGCATCCCCACAGCTCCGACGACTCCTTTTCCTCTGGCGACGCGGGCCCCCAGGATCGGGACTTCTTCTCCCCGCAGCCAGCTTTCGAGGCAGCTCTTTTGCACCAGCCCTTGCAGTTTTCAGGAGGAAAAGAAACACACAGACGTAATTAATCCTCGATTCCCAGAACATATGGGAAAATATGGGAAGTGGGGGGGAAGACAGAAACCCAGAACATATGGGAAAGTACATCGAGAACCCTTTTATGTGTGTATATTTATTTGTGTGTCCCAGGGCCCCTTCAAGTTTGCCTGCCTGGAGGGGGGGCAGGGGGGCGGGGGGGGCCGCGGCGAGGCCCGCCCGGAAGTCTGGACCTCGCGCAGCTCGGGGCTCACCTGCACGCCTTTTCCCCCCGCCTGTGCCCTGCCTCCCCAATCAGAGCTTCGCGTAGCCCGCCTAGCTTTTCACCGGAAGAGGTTCGCTCTCGACCCGCAGACCAAAAAAAACCTGCACGCCTTTTCCCCCCCGTCGGCGTTCGAAGAGGCGGCGCATGGGGCTCAGGAGGGCCCCCGGTTGTCGGGGGCCGTTCCTCCGACTCGGGCGGGGAGCTGACGTTCGTGGCCGAGGCGAGGCTCGTCCCAGGCTTCGGCGACCACTCGTCCCTCCGCCACGCAACAAGAAGCACAGGCACCCTCCAATGGATCGTTCCGGGGCCTCAGGGGAGGGTGGCGGTGTGCGAATCGCCACTGGGAGCCAGAGCCTTTAGAAACCGCCGTCCTGCCCTGAAGGTGCATGCAAAGCTCGTCGGAGGTTGCTTGCGTATGTAATTTCGTGCTGGAGTCCCTCTCCTGGCGTTCCTCACAGCAGCACGGCGGCTCTGTCCCAAGGCATTTGGCGATGTTTTTTTTTTTGTTTTCCCCCTGCGTGGCCCTTAGATGTCCAGACTTAAATCGGGCCGGTCCCTCTACAGGAGGAATATTCAACAATAGTCGACGATTTGTTGAGCATTTTTCTTCGATTACATGTGAACATTCTTCGGTGGTATTTTTTTAAATTCTTCGCCCAGAATCCGCCTGCCCGACCTCAGTCCAGACCTCCCTCCCCCCGGGGCCAGCCTCTCGGCCTGGGGGCTCGTTTTCCTTGCTGCTCCCGGCCCCGATCCGAAGCCCCCCGAGAGGGCACCGGCTGCGAGGGGGAGAGCGCCCGGGGCTGCAGAGGCCACACCGTCGGAGATTTTGGGCTGCGTTTGCGAGTGTCGGGCCGGACGAAAGGGAGGGATTGGGAAAGGGGGGTTTACAAAATTTACTGCATGCAGCTGGTTTCGGCCCCGCCACCGGGCCCATTCCTCGATACATGGGCGCCTACCGGCGCCCGGAGGCGCCGGGAAAATCAGCTACGTGAGCTGATTCTCACCCCCCCTTGCTATCCCCCCCTTTCGCCCGACCCGAGAGTCGTTTACAAACAAGTATATTTACGTAGCACCCCGCAGATGCGGATAAGAGTGAGGGGGCGGTGGGGACGTCGGCAGATCGCGAGACTCCGGAGAGGCCCGCCGCAGGCGCCAAAGTTTCACAAATTATGCTACGAACCCGCCGCAGGCGCCGATTTTTTCGTGAAATCAATGTGGGTCGGTCGCGGGTGGGTCGCGGGTGGATCGCAAATGGGTCGCGGGTGTGTCGCGGGTGGGTCGCGGGTGAGTCGTTGTTGGGTCGCGGGTGGGTCGCAGAAAATCCACCCCATAATAATCACCTCGACAAGCGAAGCCGTTTAAACGCACACAAGGAATGAATCGAACAGGGCAGGGCTGTTCAGACAACGCCCAGGGCCGTTTTCTAAAAACGTCAATTGTCTGGTCCGGGTGGTCCTTCCTCCTTTGAGGGTGGGTCGCGGGGTGGGTCGCAGGTGGGTCGCGGGGGGGGGGGGGGGGGGGGGTCGCGGGTGGGTCGCGGATGGGTCGCGGATGGGTCGCGGATGGATCGCGGGTGGGTCGCGGGGTGGGTCGCGGGGTGGGTCGCGGGGTGGGTCGCGGGTGGGACGACGACAACAAACAACAACAACAATCACGCAACAAGCAGGGTTCTCACCACGAATTCTTTATTCAGCCACGCACCCAGGGACAATGAGTGACCGGTCGGCCCCCTCACTCTGATTTATATACATGATTTATACACATATATATATAGATGTGTAACGAGTTTCTTATGACAAATAAAACAAGTAATAATTGAACAAACCTCTGGGCCATAGCGCGCGTTATGCCCACTCCCCTCCCCCCCCCTCCCCCCATAACGCAACGCTCCCCCCCCTCCCGCAGTGCGTCCCCCGCACTGCCGCAATGCGACCGACACCACAGTCTGGGGGGGGGGCGGGGGTGCTACGTTCTGCCCTCTCTCCCGTCCCCCCCCATTCCTCCCCCACCACGCCCGTTATGGCCGCGCATGAAAAACGCGCTCTGGCCGGAGGACGACGTCTGGGGCGCAGTGGAGGCGATCGTCCCCTGCATCGAGGCGTGCGGCCGGCGCATGACCGAGGCCATCCGCAAGGGCGCGCCCGGCCTGGCGCCGCTGGCCGACTGCATGGCCGCTGGGGGCGCGGTGATCGGGGAGCGGCTGCCCAGGGGGACGGCCGCCGCAGACGGCGCACATCCTTTTCTCTCACTCCCTCTCCTCTTCTTTCTCCTCTTCTTTCTCCCTTCTCTTCCTCGTCCTCCTCTTACTCCTCCTTCTCCTCCTTCTCCTCCTCCTTCTCCTCCTCCTCCTCCTCTTCCTCCTCCTCCTCCTCCTCGCCTCCTCCTCCTCCTCCCCACCTCCTCCTCCTCCTCCTCCTCCATTTCCTCCTCCTCCTCCCTCCTCCTCCTCGTCCTCCTCCTCGCCTC